TAATAGGTACTAATTAAAAATGTTTTCTATAATGACTCTTTCTTCTTAGGCACAAGCCTTGAACTATGTAAGTATATGCTAGAATTTGAGTTATTATTGCAGATAATTTTACTAATTTCAGGGGAAAGTGGGGATTGATTGGGTAAGTATGTATCAGTTTTGGAAATCTCCCTCCTTTGCTACTTTGACTGAATATGGAGAAAACTTCTGCAGTGTTTCAGGAGAGCTACAGCTGTTTTTGATGGGGCACAAATGAAATACATGAAGAGTAACAGTGTTGTAAAAGTCATAAATGCCAAATAAAATTAAGTCATCAATGAGTAAAATGATTAGAGTTATAGATTTGCAATTTTCCTTTTTAAATGCCCTTATCGATTTGTTCCAAATGCTGTTAACCCTGTATTTGGCAAATGGTGAAGACATTATCACTTGTGTTCTCATTTGTAATAAAACAGATTAACTTGCTGTGAAAATTTAACTAGGCTGAGACACAACGGTAGCCACCTAATGAACCAAAACACATTGCAGTTAAGTAGCTAAATAGATTCATACTGATTACAGGGCTGAAAAATGGATCTGTTTACTTGCAAAGTAGAAATTGTTTATAGAACTATTCATTATTTTAGGAAAAAATAAACATTCCCAGTTTCCTACAGATTTTTTTTTTTTTTTTTGTGGTACGCGGGCCTCTCACTGTTGTGGCCTCTCCCGTTGCGGAGCACAGGCTCCGGATGCGCAGGCTCAGCAGCCATGGCTCACGGGCTCAGCCGCTCTGCCGCATGTGGGATCTTGCCATACAGGGGCACGAACCCATGTCCCCTGCATCGCCAGGTGGTCCCTTGCATCGGCAGGTGGACTCTCAACCACTGTGCCACCAGGGAAGCCACGGATTATTTTTTTAAACCCACCTAATTCTTAATCAGTATGAGGCACTGGATTCATCTAATGTTGTTTACATGGTGAAAAATGTCTGACCTCTGTGAGGTCTTAGGAAACAATAACAGTGAATTGAACCTTGATCGAATTTGGAAAGTGCAGGCTACAAAATATAAAAGCAGAAATATGACTTTATGCAAAATGCTACTGTAACTCTAAGTCATGTTTTCAAAGTTAATTTATTTTTCCACCTAATGTAATGTTCAAAATGTCAAAGAAAGAGTTTAAGAGTAATTATTTGAGTTCATATTATTTGTTCATATGAAAATTTTAAACATTTTGGAGGATTCCTCTTTATAGCATTGTATTTTTTCTCATTATTTATAGTATTTTCTATTTTTGTAGATGTTCTTCCAATTTTTTTAAAATTCAGTGTGAGCTTTCATTTTATAAGCTGGGTGAGCAAGATCAAGTATCACTGTCACTTGAATTCTGTTGCTTTTCCAAACCATCAACTTTATGAATCACCCCCAAATTTTCCATTTTTTATTATGGCAGCATATATTGCTGTGTATTATTCCTGTTTGCCACTACACAGTGATTTTGTTTGTTCAGTTCTATTTTTGCTCAGTAACTGCTGTACTTTGTCCCTATCCATTCACTTACAGGTCCATTAGAGATAAACATAGATATTAAATTACATAGTTTTCAGCAAATATCCAATGTTAGAATTCAAAGACTGAATGGACATAGTTTAGCATAGAATCATTGAAACTACAGAACAGTGAAAAGAAAAAAATAATTTTGACCTCATATATGAAATTCCTTTTGTTGGGGTGTGTGTGTGTATGTACACATGCTATTTAGGGATTATATTTTTAATCACTACACTTCAGGTTGAATTTCACAGCTGATGAACTACTAGTCTTTTCAAAAAGTAAAACAATGTGGTATAAAGTCTATAGATAATTTGCTGCCCATCTCCATACCTTCCCTCCAAAATACAAATATAATTATTTGGAAAAACAATGATTCTCTTCTTCTGCTTTGCTTATATGTGTCTTTTGATCTTGCCCTGTGTACATAGTATTACAACTGTATACTTAACTGTATACTAAATATAAATGAAATATATATTTCTCTGTCTTAAAACATTGTTTTTGAAGCATGACAAAAGTTATAGAGCCTTTAAGGTGTAGTATATATTTATAATTATTGGTATTTAATAACTATATCATATTGTAGATAATATACTCAAAGACTGCTGTTCATTTCATTAAAATTATCAAATGTTAGCTAAATGCTAAATAATAATATATAAAACAACATTAAAAAATGAACATACTACATTGATGACTGTATTAGTTCTTTATTGCTTCTGTAACAAATTATGACAAATTAAGTAGCTTAAAACAATGCAAATTTATTATATTACAGTTCTGTAGGTCAGGTGTCTGACATGGCTATCATTGAGCTAAAATCAAGCTGCTGGAAAGAGT